AATTTGAATAAAAAGTTCAGCCATTTAGATATTTTAATTCATATTACAATATTAACAAAATTTCAGTATTACGCCTTATTGGTGTTTACAATACTGTTTCAATCACTCCTTGCAAATAGATATTTATAAGCACATCCTGGTATTATGCCTTTTCACGACTCATCAATATTTTTGTTTATATATTTTGATACTATTTTCCAAACAATTAATATTTTATTGATGTAAAAAATTTTAAAAATATCTGCATTTTCCTTTCGATGATATTTTTTTTTTAGATTTAGAACATTCTTTTTTTTTTGTTCCATTAAAAAATGACATTGAGCCTAGGAAATATTTGAGATACCACATATTTTTTTCAAATATTTACCTAGTTTATTTGAATACTTCTTGCTTTCTGGAAGACTAAAAGGAAAAACTTCGATCTTCATTCCTTTCAATTATGTGAAATATTCCGCTTTGATGACAAGAATGACATAATGTTTTAAAATTGAAAATTGTTTTATTTCATAAACTGCCAATGGAAAAAATATTTGGTTTATGGAATCATATATATTGAAATTAAATATCATGCAAATTAATTGTATAAATATCATAAAATTATATTTTTATTATAAGAAGCATAATATAATCGATCGATTTGGTTTGATATAATTATTGGCGGATTTTTTCAGATAAAAAAGCATTTGTGGGAGACCCATAATTATAAATATTTTATCCGATTATTGAATAGTTAATCAATTATGTTTATTATTATATAGATATGTATGTTTAAAGCAATGAAAGCCTTTTTTGAGGGAGACAAATATATTAGCATTGTGCATTTTAACACTATATCAATATTATTATTGCTGAAAATAAGTCATTCCTATTGCTGCGAAAAGTCTATGTAGATATGCTTAAAATCCAATTTTAAATTATTTAGTTCCACTAAGAAATTAATATATTTTGGAACGTAGTGTAAAATTAATGCTTAAGGTACTGCTATTTTAAAAATTTTGAAATTATGTTGGTTTAAAATTCCCATATAATTCAATGATGGAAATAAATTAGGTTTACCACGTTTATTTTTTATACTGAATGTTTATGTGGCCCGAAAAAATTTTATGTCACGAACCGTTGGTCCTTGACCTACATTCTAGCTGATCGACTAATTGGGTCGATTAGCCATGTCCATTATAATTTGCAATCAATGTCTGTAGTTAAATTTCTGGTCGCACAGAGACCTCAAGTCTTACAAGTGTAACAGCACCTGCCCAACGAATACGTAAGGCTGTCTTGGTGATGATCAGCCAATATTGGGACGAATGGGGCAAAGCAGAATATTTGGTGAATGGGCGCTTGAAAAGTCGTCCGAAGATACACTTTTTTTATCAAAAAAATGTGTACAGCGACCAAGCTCAGTTTGGTGCAAGGGGTACGTGTATATGCAAAATTGTCGATTCTAAATAATGATGTAAAAAAAGCATCTACGAAGATGCCCCGAATCGTAACGTAAATGTGAATGGTGAGCGCTACCATGAAGTTATACGCAACATTTGTTGCCCAAAATGCAAGAGCTTGACTTGCATAAAATGTGGTTCCAACAAGGCGGTGCCACATGTCACACAGCACGTGTAACTAAAGACTTATTGAGAGGCGAGTTCTTTTGTGGGGCTATATTAAAGCTCATGTCATAGAAGGAGTATGCCAAAAATTAACAATTGCATGAAATCATGACCAAAAATTAATTATCCATATTTCTGAATAATAAAGAATAAAATTTAGCAACTTCTGTAGGACTCACGATAGAGCTTTGAACATTTTACATAATTCGATAGAATATTTGGCATTAACAAGTAAAAAAGTGTGGTTTTCAGAGGTCTATGGAATTACTGCACACTGGTTTAGAGAGAACAAGTTGCTCTTTAGAACTAAATGTTTGAATGTTTGTGGGGGAGCTACCCATCTTCGAACATGATCTAAACTTTGTATCAAATCGGACATATGACAAATTATTAAGATTTTGGCCCATTCTGGAGGAGGTACCTGAAATATAGGATCCATCTTCAGTCACTATCTAGGTTTAGATAAAGTATTATGAGTTGCATAATCATTTGTGATATGTTGCAAAAATGCTGTCTATACCTGTGGGAATAAATGTATCGAATATGCAGCAGATCGGATCATGCTTTGCTAATGCTCTCATATAACGGCACCCCGATTTTCAGTATTTTGAGGATTTTCGCCACGTTTTTCAAACATATTGGTTGTAATGTTATATTTTGGATACTCACTGGTTATAAAAGCTTCCTGCCAAAAGTTATTAATTTTGGACAATATTTAAGGGTAGCCCTCATTTAAGGGAATTTCTGTATCAAAATACCCCGAGTGTCGGTATTTTCAGGATTTTTGCCACGTTTTTCAACCAAATTGGCTGTACTTTCATATTTTTATATTTAGGGGCTATCAAATCTTCCCGCCCAAAAATTATTAATATTGGTCAATATTTTACGGTACTCCCCTAATTTCGGTATCTTGAGGATTTTTATAACGTTTTTCGATCGATTTGACTGTAATTAAATACGTTGGATTCTAATTTGGCACCAAATCGTCCAGCTTAAACATATCAATATTGGTCCATTTTTTGAGTAGCCACCCCATATGACGCTACACCCCAAATTTCTATAGTTTGAGGATTTTGACACATTTTGAGATGCTTATCAGCCAGAGTGAAGTGTTTGGTTTCTAAAGAATCCAGAAAAAGAATTGGAGTTAAAATGTGATAACATTTTAAGTTACACCCCATGCAGCAGCAGCATGCAGAAAACAGAATAGCCCAATAAAATAATTAATTTTTGATGATGAATTACATTATAGCTACAAATCTATGTGACCCAAAATTGATGGACCCACACTAATTTTCCAGCAGAAGGGACTACATTTTAGCAATGCGATTTGGCAGTTATTTGATATTCTGCGAACCAATTTTTTAAAGAACATTAAAAGATTAGTCCATGTTTGTATATAACCCCTACTTATATTATGATCCGCATCATTTTCGGTATTTTCCAGCTCATAGACAATTTTTTCCAACCTTAGTATCTGTAGTTTAGTATATCGTTTTCTTCCAACAGTAATCTGTCATGAAATAGCTTCCATATAAAAGTCCCTGTCGAAGTTAGCCTCCCTGTTCGGGATGTCCTCCTCATGATGGAGGGTATACAATTGTATACTCGTGGTAGAGGTTTTAAAAAAAATCGGTCGAACGATATTAATATTTTTATTTAAATTCTGTGCCACAATATTCAGTTTTATTATATTAAATATGCCATCTGGTGATACTCCTCGAACACATTTTTGTTCGCCAAAAAGTATTGGTGTCAATCAGATAGGAATTCGTTTCCACATCATCATCGATGACATTTTATGTCTAACAAAAAACAATCCCGGTTAATGTTCATAATATTACACTTCGTTTCCGAATCATATAGAATATCTTCATATAATCTCGTGAGATTACAACATACACCTTATTTAACATTTCAATTGGTTTTGAAAAAAACTACCTTAACCTAAAAAAATTGTTGTATTTTTTTCTCTCTCCAAAAAATTGACATTTTCTCTCTTTTCCATTTGGTTAAAATATTTTCCTAAAGAACCCTATTCGAATTTTCAAGTGACTATAAACACAGAGAGACGTTGTAAAATTTACAGATGGACTTTGTCGGGTTTTCGATTTTGAAAAGAAAATAGTAGTGAAAAGAAAATAGATTCGCTGGCGTTTTTTGTTTTTGTGATTGGTTGATTGCTATGCTGATTGATGCTGATTGACAGAATAAAAAAATGCAAATGACGATGACAATAATGGCGGTGGGTGGTGGTGGTCGTGATGGTGATACATGACATGATCGAATGATAAAAACCAATTAGTATAGAGATCTATTATTTGTAGAGTGTTTATTATTTATGTTAGGATTTACATTGGAAGCTTGTTGTTGTTGTTAAGCCACAAAGAAATTCGAAAGAAAGCAAGGACATGCAAAAGATGAGAGATGGAAATAAAATATAAAATAAAATTAAAAAAATATGTAGGTAAGAGGAAAGCATGTTGTGATTTGTTTTGAAAGAGAAAGCCAATAGTTTTTGTTTTCAGATTGAAAGATAGAGATGAAATCCATGAAAGCGATTTTTTTGTTTTGAAAAATGCATAAAAAACATGCTACAAGCTTAGAAATAATTTCATATGATGCATAAAGGATAGCAGGAAAAAAGAGAGAAAGAAAAATTATGAAATAAATAATTATGAAAATTAATACAAAAATAAAAAATAAATAAATTATTCTTGCATTAAAAATAGAAAAATAAATATTTTAAAAAATTGGTGCATATTTTATAAAAGTTTGGCCCTTGGTAGGGGCCCTGCTGTTTTTGCTTGGGCGGTGCCGGGTTGAAGTTGTATGTACAGTTGTATTTTGAAAATTTGAAAATGATTTTTTTTTGAATTTTTTTATGATTGATGCTGCTGATGAAATGGTGAAAAAATGTCGCTTGATTTGTTTGGCAAATCAGTTTTTTTGTTTTTGAGCGGGAATTGAGGGGTTATTGTTTTGAAAATTTGATTTTTGAACACATGTGCAAATTATATGGAAAAAATATAATGATTTTTTTTTTTAAATATAAGACAAACACATAATTTTGTTGTAAATATATCACAAAAATATTATAAGAAAAAAATATAGTGTTAAACATAGAACAAAAATAATATACAAAACGAAATTAAAAAAATAAAATATTTTTTTAAAAGTGTTATTGAAAAAATCACAACAAAAATATTTCAAACACAAAGAAAAATCGAACAAACAAAAATTAATAAAAAATTAAGAAAATTAGTAAATCTAAGTATTAAAAAAAAGAGACAGAGTTAAGTTTAAAAAAAAAACGAAACGAAATAAATAACAAAGAGGTAGAACAGAAAAAAGTTTTTTTTTTAGTTTTTTAAAAGAATTAAAGTTTTTGCATACGTCATGTCACCATATCCAACGGTTGTCATGGTGACAACAGCCCACCAAAATGCATCGGGTATGGACTTGAAGAAGGAATTTTCGCTTCCAGCTTCCGCAAAATAAACCGCCGATGAGAAGAGTACAACGCCTAGAAAATTTCAAATTGTTGTTGTTGTAGTTTAAAAAAATTGGCATTTCTGTTTTATTTTATAGATTTGTTGGTATTAGTTGTTTTGTTAATTTGTTAAGAAAAAAATCAGAGGGGGAAATATAGGGAATTGGCAGGATGATCAAGGTTAATGGATTCTTTTTCCAAAACAAGGCTAAAGGTTTTACAATTTTTTTTTCGTTTCGTTTATGTTTTTTTCATTTGTTAAATTGTTTGGGTGTTAGTGGCAATGATGTGTTTTGTTATTAAAAAAAATTAATGTGTGTTTTTTTTTCGATTTTTTTCATTAGGAAAAAATGTTATTACCTAAAATATTTAGAAAAAGATTTTTATTAAATATATTATTAATTTTTTTTTCATTTAAAGAAAATTAATAAAAAATCCTAATTTTAAAATTTCCCAAGCAGAAATATTTTTGTTTGTTTAATCTAGGCGTTTTATTTTTTTGTTTTGGTTTTCGGGTTTTTGTATTTTGGTGACTTATTCTAAAAACGGCTTGTAGTTTAATAGGCTGTGTTGTATTCGTTCTTTCTTTCATTTCGATTTCAATGTCATTTGTATGCAAAAGAGACAGAGAAAAGTTAGATAGTTATATAGCTTTAAAAATCGGAAATGAAAAAAAAATAATCATTTAATTTCTTTTTTCGTCTGTCTTCAATGGCGTATCGCATCTTTACCACGAAATATGGTGATATTTTTTGGGGCATCAATTTTTTAAAGATTTTCAAAAAATTTCTAATTTTTTTTGGTTTGCTTCTACAAAAAATAAATAAACTTAAACAGAAGAAAAACTTAATAAAATTTTATAAAAAAAAAACAAAATTAAATTTTGAAAAACTAAAGCACATGCCAAATTTAAAGAAAAAATAATAATAGTAAAGAAAACAATAGAAATAGAACAGTTGTTGTATATATATATAGAGAGAGAGAATATAGACAAAGAGAAAGATATAGTTAAGAGTACAGACAACATTGATTTAGTTTTGTTTTTTTACAATATTATTTTTCACAATTATATATATGTTAAAAGAAACATCGTTATAGACAACATAAAAATTAAAAAAAAATAATAAATAAATTTATTTTTTTAAGAATTTTATACAATTGTTTTTTTTTTTTTATTTATAACACAGGTCAATATACAATATTAATTATTTATATATTTGATTTAATTTAAAAAAAATTAAAGAATTTCAGTTATATTAGTATACATACAATTTTTTAAATACATTTTTGTTATTGGTATAAAATAACGGTTTTATTTGTATTTGTAATTTCAAACATAACCTCAATGATCGAAAAAGTCCCATATGTATACGATATTCGTTGAGACGGATCAATAGACCGAATCTAGAACAATATTCGGAAACCTGTCCTTTAATTTTTATGTATTATACCCTACACGGTTATGTTGTCAGGGTATTATAGCTTTGTGTGGCCCAAGAGTTTGTAACGTTGCGAAAAATTGCTCATAGACCCACCATTAAGTATACCGATCGTCATATCTCGACTAGATGAGTCGATCTAGGCATGTGTTCCCATCCGTCTGTTCATTTTATTTTGTAAACACGATACAGGTCAGTTATGGACCAATCGTCATGCAATTTTGCATGTAGGACGGGTCCTAGCCCAAGTAGACTCTTTTTGTTTTTGGTAATGATCAGTTAGTATTTAGGGGTGAAATAGAGAAACCGTTTTTCTGGTCGCTCTATAGGCCATACATATGACCCAAACATCATGAAATTTCACGCAGAGAATGGGGTCCGACTGTTTTGAAAAACATCTGTCAATATTTAGCCGGTCAAATGGACCAGATTTTTGTGTAATATAGATATGGACCCCAGAAGTTTTATAGTATATCCAAGAGGAGTAGTTGACCAAGTATGTTGTGGTATGTACTCGGATGAGGCAGTTATATGCATGAAGTTTCGGTTATGATCTAGGACGAAGCTTATAATTTTCGGTAAAGATCGGAAGCTATTTAGAATGAAATGTATCAAAACCGCAATTTTTGTGTGGATTTTTCAAGACACAAGTCATACCACAATTACAAGCCAAAAATCACGACACACGGAAATTTGGCCAAAAAATTAGTAGGCCTGTTTTGCTAATGGTCGGTCAATATTCAGTGGGCCAAATCAACCAACACATTTGTATGTAAATTGCTTTTATGTCAGGCAATGTTCACTCCCGGGTAATCAAGGTTCGAAAATGATGCCAGGGTAATAAAGATGAGCTGATGATCTCTAATCGGTCGGCGAAATAAATATCAGGCTCGGTATATAGATCCGCAAAAAGTGTGAGTTTAGTGGTAATTGTGTAGGTTATCATATCGTCGGCCCCGTCCGATATATATTGTTGATCAGAATTAAATTGGAAGTCTGTCTAGTTAGCCATATCTCTCGGTCTGTACGCCTGTCTGTTGAAATCACGAGTGATATAGCAAAACATTGGACACAGAACCTTGAAATATTGCGAAAACATTGCAACTAATTTTAGGATGTTTGGTATTGAAAATGGGCTGTATCAGTACACGCTCCAAAATATTAAAACCTGGAGAGTTTCGACAGTGTTTTCAACCGAATTTGCTCTTATTTGGTCGGTTGGGTACAAATTGGGTAGAAATTCTTCCTACCAAAAGTAGTCAATATTGATCCACCTTTGAAGGTAGCTTTCATATTAAGGCACAAATATTAATATTGGTTTATGTTTCGGGGTAGACTCGATGGAGCTGTACACCTCATAATTCAGCATTTAGGGATGCTTGGTCACGCTTTTTATCCAACTTGACTGTAATTTGCTACTTTGAACGCACATTAGGTAAAATATATTCCTATCGAAAATTTTCAATATTAGGCCACCTTTTCGGGTGTGGTACTAAGCTGGCACGTTTTCCAAGCGAACTGGCTCAAATCTGATATTTTTAATTCTCGATGGGTAACCAATCTCCTTAGCATCAACTATCAATAATGGTTCATGTTTTGGGATAGCCGCATTAATAATTTAAGGGATCCCATCTCCTTTACCATCCAGTGTTACTGATGACAACCAATTAGCAATTCGTGCATATGCCAGGAGAACTAATCAACCTACACACCAATATAGGCCTTAATTAAATTTGAGTACCATTTAGTACCAAATTTTATGGTTCGATCTCTATAGGTTCACACAAATTGAAAATGTTCAAATTTAGCACCATTTATCACACATTAATATACATTTCGATAAATACACACCTCAATAATTCAATAGAAATTATATTTCCCACTTTACGAATTCCAGCCCTATCGGTTCACTCAAATCCAAATTGTAACAAATTTGGTACCATTTATTGCACATAAGAATGAATACAGTAATTTTGTCTCCAAATTTCAGGATTCCAGGCCTACTTTTTAACCTATATCCAAATTGTACCATTTAGTACACATAAAAAACTGCCTACATACCTCAAGTCTACACTTCAACAGTAATCTTTTTTTAAATTTTCAGGTTTCCAACACTATCGGTTCGCCCAAAAATCAAATGGTATCAAGTTTAGTACCATTTAGTACCAATAAGTACAAATTTCCAAACCTACATCCATACGCTAAACCTACAATCCAACAGTGATCCTAACTAACTGTGGATATGTCAATGTGGTGTCTTCCCATGTTCGATTTTGGTTTATTGGTAAAATTTGGCATCTAATCAAACTAACACCATTTATCCGGTCAACACGTTGAATTTATGGGGTTTCCGCCGATGAATGGACGAGCTTGATATTTCTAAGAAAAGCCGAAATTCATTTTTTGTTTTGCTTTGCAAATGTATTAGTACATTAAAATTTTGTACGGTCCGTAAAGTCGGATAAGGCATTTTTTCGGACTTTTTTCGGACTTAACTTTGCAGCAAACTTTTGCCAAATAGGGTCGATGAACTTATAAGTAATCGTTAAATTATGAATTTTGAAAAAATATTTAATTTTCATCACAATTCTGAGGTAGACACAATATTTCTAATTCTAGGAGATACGCGGAAATCTGATAGTCGTATATTTGCTTAAGGATATGTAAATGGATATAACCTGTATGGATTAAGTTCTTAGAAGTTTTGCTCTTATAGAATCCCAATTGAGCAGATTTTCTTAAAATTATTTTCCGTATTTTAAATGGATTTATTAATATTAAAACTGAAATTTTCTAACAAATAAATCGGCATCTTCGATGTCTTATTTTTATCAGTATATGATTTTTTTAACAAATTTAAAGCTTTTTCGTATTAGAGTTCCATTGCTAACGTTATTATAAATTATTTTTACAACTTGTTTCAATATATTTAATAATTCGCTATGATATAATTTATATTGACCTGTCTTATAAACAAAATTGTATTACGACAAAGAAAAAAAAAATTAATTACAATATTTATTTTTTTATTCAATTTAAATTGTATGTTATTTTGGACAAATATTTGCATTAGCTTGCGATTATTAATATATATGTAATTTTTTTATTACACTTATCGCACAAACACAGAGACACAAGAACACACACGCACGTACGTACATTCATTACAATAAAGTATGTATAGAATATATTTTAGTTTTAAAATCGATTTTTTTGTTTCAAATTTGTATTTTCAAATAATATACACAATTTGTTTTTCCATCTGAACTGCATAAAATCGGAATTTCCGTTTAAAAAAAAATATTTAAATTATTTTTACAATTACAAGTTGTATGTTCATCAGTTATATGCTCCATATTTTACATGTGTATTTGTTGTTGTTCTTGTACAATATTTATATATGTAAAAAATTAAAAACAAAAAATATTGAAAATTGTAATTTTGTTTCTATACCTCATATCACCATATCCCACAGTGGTCATGGTTACAACAGCCCACCAAAATGCATCCGGTATCGATTTGAAGAATGACACTTCAGCACCAGCCTCCGCAAAATAAACCGCCGATGAGAATAGTACAACGCCTGTATTTCAATTCATTTTTT